TCACATTCACATTCACATTCACATTCACATTCACATTCACATTCACATTCACATTCACATTCACATTCACGTTCACAATCACGTTCACAATCACATTCACAATAGCATTCACAATAAGATTCGCAATCACTTTCACAATCACAATCACATTCAAATTCACAATCCTGCAAAATGATGAATTCATCGGCTTATCCGCACAGGCTGCCTTCAGATGAAGCACAGAGCTACACTTTCTAATGAGGTGCAACATGATTGGGTTGGTTCAGGTAATATTTCAATCTGAGTTGGTGCCTGTATCTGTCTTGTGTGCCTGTGTTTTCTTGACTCGTTCGCTTGACTATGTTTGTAAGAATGGTACCATTTGCTCTGATGATGTTTGTCCGATAATGGCGCAATAAAACTTTGCCCGTTTTCGCCGGAATCGAAGCGGATTGCCTCGGAAATAGCTTCACCAAGAATGTTCCAGTAAAGCCCCTCGACTACTGGCCAAGAGCAATCCGTTGGTCGTCGTCGTCGTCGTCGTTTTCTCGTATCCAACTTGGTTCACCATCCGATACATGTCGGCCAATTCGACCATGGCAACATGGCCGCTAGCAACGAGTGCTCACGTCGCGGGCTTGAATCCGGTGCGAGGCGGTGCAGGCTGCTGTCGAGTTGAGTCGCACCGAGGCGAGGGAGAGAAGTAATAAGAGAGAGAGAGAGAGAGAGAGAGAAAGAGAGTTTAATGCATTTTTGAGGCCTGAACTTCAAATAGTCTCGTAAGCAGAATGTTGCCTGCGTGGGGTTGATTTCGTGCAACAAAAAAAGGCGTCAGTGTCAACTTGACCTCTCGGAACGAGCGTCGTCCAACTCTGCGGCTATCTCTGTCTGCCTGTTTGACGGACAAAGCTTCGGTCGTTGTCACTGCGACCTAAACGAGATGATGTCTTGTTGTCTCTGCGCTTGGGGAGCACCAGATGACGCCGGAGCAACACGAGTCCCTTCAGTGCACGCACACACACACACATCCACGATTATAATCGGTTTTGTGTGTGTACGCTTTTTTTAAGTTCGAAACGTCAGTCGTGTCTGGTAAATCTGGTTAATAAAATGATGAGTTCAATTGAAAATGTGATCCACTCCAGTTCCTTCCCATTCCGTGTGGATTTCAATGCTGCCTCGGGCATTTTGGTGTGATTTTTCAATGAGGAATCCCAACTGTCAGTCCCTTAATCCGCCCGACCGTCTTCAACTTTGCCGGTTCTGGTTCGTTTGCTCGAACACAAACCGAATGCCTTAGCAGAACAGGCTAAGCCCTTGTGCTATGCGGTTTCTCCGGGACGGTTGTCTTTAACAAACACACAAACACACACACACAATCATCCTCAACGCACATACACACCAACAAACCAACTTTGAATTTGTCAGGCACGGTCTTAACGTCTTCATCGCCCACTTTCCAGAAGTAAACTTTCATGTTATCCTCTTGAAAGTACTGCTTTACGGCAGATGACGCCGGTGCAACACGAGGCCGTGGAGAGTCTGACACACACGACTCCCTTCAGTGCATACACACACACATGTGAGTTGACAGGACACGCTAGTCCTCGAAACACAATCCACCAAAAATCTGTCCTGGCTGGTAAGACAGCGTCGATTGAGCAGGAAATTCGAGTGCCACTCGGTCCGACTGCAGCGTCGGGTCCCAAGTCGTGTCAAACACACGGTCGGATCTTTGCTGTGATTGGTCAAACCCGCAGCAGCAAAATGTCCTCGGCCTCAAGGTCAACGCGTAAGTGAACAGTGCACTTAGACGACGTCTCGAATGAGTCATCCTCTTGCCTAGTTCTGCTGGTCCACTCTACAATCGTGTGTCTTTGTAATGATCGTTACTGCTCGATCGATAAAAGCGTAATTTGCAAATTTCCCGCAGTGTCTGTCTGCTCACTGCAGACTTAAAAAGCTCGCAATGTCAAACTTGGGAATTACATTCACTTGAACATTCACTTTGTCACTTTTGAACAAAATACTTTTAATGGAAGATAGAAAGATCAGGATTGTGGGGCCTTTTGAATGGCCGTTCATTCGTTCAGTCAATCGGTAGATCGGACGTTATTCATTGAAGAGAAGTTCTGTTTCGAAGATCTCCTCGTTTGATGCATGATTGTGTGGATTTAATTGAAGTTGAGAAGCTGCTGGGAAAGTAATTGTAGTTGGCCTTATTTGCAAGTGAAGAAGAGAACATGTTATGCGAAGAAAAGGAATCTCTTGTTGTGCTTACTTCCATTTCGAGTGAAAGTGTGGCGTGAAGAGATTCGAAAGTCCATTCCACCCGAAGACGACGGCCGATTCCTCTTGACCAGCTTTACTGGAACATTCATGCTGACGCTGTTTCCGAGGCAATCTCCTTCGATTCCGGTGAAAAGGTACTAATCTTTCGTCCGTCATGTGATGGATATCGTCCTCCAAACATCCTATTTTTTTCTTGTCTCGTTAGCCTTAATTTTTATTGTAACGATGATACCTTGCTGCGATGATGCTTGTCATATGACGGACGAAAGCTAAGCACGTTTTCACGGGAATCGAAGCAGGTTACCTCGGAAACAGCGCCATGAAGAATGTCCTAGTAAAGTGGTCAAGAGTAATCCGCCGCCGTCTTCTGTCACAATATGTTAAGCTTGATTTGAGCCTCGGCCGGCCCACCTCCGATTTCAATCTGTCCCTTTCGCCTTGCCATACGTTGCTATGGCTACTCGTTTTTTCGGATAGACGACGTCTGATTCGCGTAGTTCTGCAAATGTGCTGGGACATTTTACGGCGTTTCACTTCACCCAGTCCCCGAGGCATCCTGCCCCGTTTCGGGTGAAAATGGGCTCAACTTACATCCAACATAAAAAGCAAATGTATGAAGACCAAGATGGTGTGGACTTTTGTGTGGTGGCAGTCCCCTTTCGTGGTACACAAGTTGCTTGACCTTGTTTTCGCAACCTGGTCATGTTGGTAGGAGGACTTAGAACACACCATCTTGGACTTCATACCTCTGATTAAACTATGTGTTTTACCGAAGGTATGAAGACCAAGATGGTGTGGCCTTTTGTGTGGTCGTTGTCTC